CAAACTAATCAATTCCCCCTAGAATAGGCCCCTATATATATATATATATATATATAATGGAAAGATTAATTACCTTTAAAATGTAATTATGTAACTACTACCACTTCCGTTAGCCGATCTCCATATCATGTTCCTAAATGCCAAAACCGACTTTTCAACTATTATTTTTCTTACACTTTGGTGGGTTGGTATAGAACATTTCTTTCTAAATGCCAATAAGTCAATAATCAACATTGCAACAAATTAAAAGGCTGATGTAGTTTTCATGGATCGAGATAGTTCATGGACAGAGGATAGGCCCAAAAAAAAGCAGAGAGGAGATTCAAATTCCCATACCTGTCGGAAACTGGGGACGGGGATGATGTACGTGAAGGGTCGGGGATTGCATTCCCTGCCCATCTCTGTCCCATTGCCATACCTAGCGTAAAGTTGATCCAAACATGTATCTTAGTGATCGATCAGGCTGAAGGCTCGAAAGCAAGAGAAACGATATAGATACCCTTCGTTTCAATTTGTTATATCTTGAGTTTCTTTAGACGTGTTATTTATTTAATTCATCTGATATGTGATGTAAAGACTTTCGCTGTTAGCTTTTCGATCTAAGTTACATTTTGATCGAGGTATATTATGTGTGTTAAGTTGTCGCAATCTCAGACAAACCCTCCGGTGACCCCAGGAGGACTTGAACTGGTGACATCTGAAAACACCAATTCAAGAAATGGGAAAAAAGAAGAAAATGTATACTTCAAAGGATCAAAACACTGATTCAAATTCATTTCAGCTGTTCGTTTTTTAATTTGATCTGTCTTCTTAAGCTTGAAGGCTTTTTTTGTTTTTGTCATCTTGATCGAACTTGATGTCGTTTTTTTTTTTTTTGTTAAATAACTCAATGGTCTTCATTTTCTTTGCCGTCTAATTTCAATACTTGATAATTCATCATCTACGTCCACATTACTGATTGTATATTGACTTTTAACATCTCCATAAAAGAAACAATTTTTTTTGCAGGTAAAAATCAGTCCCAATTTCAAAATTAGACGGTATGAGTTAGATAAAAAAAATCGATCTTTTACGGGTCCTTGATTAATCTGGTTATCGGCAACCTCTAAACCAGGTCAGCGGTCTTTTTTCACACTTCCTTTAACTGGTCCATTTTTTTGCCCTAGTCCGAAAACCGTAATTGATTTAGGCCTTTCTTTTTTACCGGTCGAAGGCTGGTCCTATCATTTATTGATCATTGGTCCTTTTTGCTTAAAAATCGGTTAATCAATCATTTAGCATCTCTACATATATACATATACAAAACGATTATAACATGTCAGAACAATATTTCAAGTCTAAGTCTAAAAAAAGTGACGAACAATCATTTTTATATAAAAGAGAGGAGTAAGTGTAATAAATTGGTTTGGTGAATCTTCCATTTTAGTGTCTTACGACACTAAGAAGGCTAGGAATGGCAACGGGCCTGGTTCGGGTCGGTTATTGGTATCATTGATAACTAAAACCATCCTCATAACCGTCCCGATCCCTATTGGGTCCTCGCGGTTTCCTCGATCCCCATTGGGAACCCGTTAAGGGTAAAAATCCCCCTTTTTCCATTGGTTTCCCCGGTCACCGTTGGTTATACCCGAAACCCGAACCGATCTGAAATAAGTTATAATATGTTACTTTTCATAATTAAAATTAAATTAGAATTTATTTCAAGATGTAAGTCTAAATGTATCAAACATAATCAAACTAATTACAAACGACATCTTAGATTACAATGTAAAAGTAAACAGAAATACAAACATCATACAACAAACATCATACAACAAACATCACGATTTAACGATTGGACAAATAAACTAGACTTTTTCGTGAGTCTTATTTGGGGTGCTGAGCTAAAGTGGATAAAAGCCTTTTAAATATTAATGTTAGTATTTTCTTTTAATGATATATATATATATATATATATATATATATATAAACTAATATATATACACATATCGGGCCGGACCGGTGATTACCATCCCCGTCTCGTTCCCGTTAAAATCCCCGAATATGTCCCTGATCCCCTCCCCACTCCCGAAAAAATGTCCCCAAACCCGACCCAAAAATTTCTTTTTTCGATTTTTACCATCGATTTCGGTTTTTTTATCATCTCTAAAGAAGGCAAATAGCTAACAAGATGATTCTTTTTGTTATATTTATGTCACATAATTGATAATTAAATCTTATTTTAATGTCTGCGACATTTTCTTGTAAATGTTTGGTATAAATTTATTATTACATACACTTGAATCAGAAAAACATCTTTCTCATAAAAAATCTGACCTGACCCATACAAGAATTAATTTCGATTCCCGAAATTTTAATATTAAAAACCCAAAAAACATGTCTCGGTAACACTTATCTCTATAACCCTACCATACGATCTCAGTTATTTTGTTGCAGCCGATTGTCTCGATTGGTTATTCAAACTTGCACGACGAGTGTTTTTTATGTCTATCAATTGTAAGCAAATTATCAAATCGGTACTGTATTCATCCATTTTTTTAGCGTTCTGATAAAAACTTAATTTTCAAGTTCGATATTATCTTGTTTTCTGTTTGGAATATTAGCTGTTATAGATGTATTTTTTGATCACGCTACATGGTAAAGTCTTACTGTTTGAAATATGGACTAACAGGATGACATCCATACGTTATCACATACCTTCGACGAAGCTTCATTGGATGTATTATTTCATCTTTTGTCAACTATTGCAATCAATTTAAAACACATGTATTTTATATATGTATATTCTGCTTTGTTTCGGAGGTGGACCTATACGGTTCAGACGTTTGTCCTTATTTTATTCTTTTAACATTTTTTAATATAAAAAAATAAAGATATTATTATAATGAGATATTTAAAAAAAATATTATGATAATATATATTTCGAATAAAAATATCGATTCGAGCATCACAGTGAAAAAAATAGAAAATCAGTTTTTTCGGGTTTTTTCATTCACAAATCTTATATATTTTGAATTAATTTTTTAACATGTTTTTTAGGTCAATTTGCATTATAATCTAGTTTATCAGTTAGTTTTACCAAACGTTAATATTTATCAACTAATTTACTGGTCAACAGTATTTAACTTATCAAACAACATTATCAATTAAATTATCAAAACATAAATATTAATATAAAATAAAATAAAAAACTAAATAAAATAAAATAATAGGATTACCCTTTTAGTTGTTAGATACCTACCACCTTCTCTTCTCCCTATGTTTTGAAAAAAATTCTGCTAAATAATAGAGAATTTAATTTATTATTAATTTTTTATAAAATTGTTTTAGTTAATGATGGAATATTTAAATACCTTTTAATACAATAAAAATATAATTTATATATTTATAAATAATTTTAGCAGGATTTTATAATTTATAAATTAGACAAATTAATTAAAAAAATTAATACTTTTAACGTTTTTTATAGTTTTATTCGAAAGAATAAATATATAAAATTGGTTGTGAGTAAACTACAAATTTGGTCCCTGTTGTTTGTCAAAAATAACATTTTTCGTCTATACAATTTTAAAATTACAAAATGACCATCGTGGTTTAAGAAAACGTACGGTTCTAGTCCATCCCTCTAACGATCGTTAAAAAGTTTAGTTTAAAATGAAACATTTTCGGTCTTTTATTGATTTTTTGGTCTTTTACCCAATTAAAAACCACAAAAACCAAAATCATAAAATCGATTTTGAATAAGTAAAAGACAAAAAAATTGATCAAAAAACTAAAATACCCATAAACGAAACTTTTTAACAATCGTTAAAAAGAGGGACCAAACATGAATATTTGTATAAACTATGATGATCATTCTATAATTTTAAAAATATAAGGACGAAAAATGGTTATGTCTTACAAACATATGGACCAAATTTATACTTTAATATATTATTATCAAAAAAGAAAAGAAATTAATCCTCACCTTACACACAATAATGCCCATGCTCTTCAAGACTTCAACGTGGGATAAAACATCACTCTCTAAACGACACGATTATCGTCGTTTGACCCACCGATTAAAGCGCCTTCTGAAACGTTGTTATTCACGTGAAACTATCTGACTATTTAAATACGAATATACTTTTGTATTTAAACGAAAATAATAATTAATTATTTATTGAAATGATTAAATTATATGTTATTTTACACTTCAATTTATACATAAAATAACATGTCATTAGGCTCGACCTTGGCCACGATATAAGTCGTGGGCCAAGTCATCCATGCACCCATGCATTAACTGTATTTTGTAGTCGCATACGATTACAGTATAAAATCATATATGATTTGATCATTTTCATGTTCTTTTATTTTGACAATGTTCTCATTTGATCTTTCATTCATACAAATATATCTGTCTTTACTTATTATTTTCAAAAAAATTGAAATTAATTATATAATTCACTTCTTTCGTTTAAATAATGTTCATATATTTTTAGTTTATTCCAAAATAATATTCATTTTTGTAATTACAATATTGTTTTATAACTGTATCTTTAATTACAAAATGAATTAATTCATCATCTATTTTACCATTGATGGTAAAATTGTTCATTTAATTAATTAAAAGATATAATAATTATATGTTTCTAAAAATATATATTATTTTTATTGAAAACATTTATTTCCATTAAAAAACTTTTAAAATCTTATGAAAAATATATTTATTATAACAAGATTAGTGTATTTATTATAAAAAAAATAATGTGTTCAATAAGTAGACAACAAGGTATATATCTCTAACTTATTCAAATTACCAAAAAGCCCCTCTTAACTACCACTTCATGCCAACACTTCAATGGGCATTTTCGTACACTTACCATTCAAGATAATTTTGCTATATTATTGGCCACCCAAGATATCGTGGTAGGTAGGACAAACCAAAAGATTCAAACTCTTTCACAAACTCTATAAATCAAAACCAATTTCAAGAAACTTTTCAAGATTCATTTGCTCATTCAAAATGGGCACCTCAAATTCCATCATCACTCTTCTTCTCTTGATCATATGTCTTTTGTCGTTTACGTTAACATTCTCAATATCAACTCTTCCCACTGAGTTCTCGATACTTGAGGGTCAAGAAACTGACGTTTTATCAAGTGAGAAGGTCTACGAACTATTCGGAAAATGGAAGGAGATGCACGGAAAGACATACGAGCACGAAGCCGAGGAGGCACAGAGGCTCGGGAATTTCCAAAAGAGTTTGAAGTACATATTGGAGAAGAACTCAAAGCGGAAATCAGAGACAGAACATATGGTGGGACTGAACAAATTTGCCGATTTAAGTAATGAGGAATTTAAGAAGATGTATTTATCGAAAATTAAGGGGCCTAGACGAAATACATTAAAGATGAGGGGCGAGAACGGAAATACGACTTCGAATTTGAGGTCTTGTGATGCACCCACTTCTTTGGATTGGAGGGACAAAGGAGTTGTTACACCAATGAAGGACCAAGGGCAGTGTGGTAAATTTCCTTTTTCTTAAATTTAATTTCTAAATTATTAATTATTTAATTGTGATTAATAGTTTTACGATCATTTTTCTTATGTGTTTCATGTTTTTTCCATGGAATTTGTATTTAAAATTTATTTATTTTGGTTTTTAAAATATATAAAAACCAATTGGACATGAGAATTAACTTAAAGAAATATTAAATAATTATTAAAATACATTTTACCAACAATAAAATTTTAAAAGTAATATCTTGATGGGTAAAAATGTAATTTTGGATTGAAGATTTATTGAAAACATAAGTATCATATTTATTTCGAAAAATATAAGATAATATGAAATACATACATGTTAATATTATGTTAACGTTTTATTGTGTAGGAAGTTGTTGGGCGTTCTCTGTAACGGGGGCCATTGAAGGTGCACATGCAATAGCCACAGGTGACCTCATTAGCCTCTCAGAACAAGAGCTTGTTGATTGCGACACAAACGATTACGGGTGCGATGGCGGAAACATGGACACTGCTTTTAGGTGGATTATTAAAAACGGTGGGCTGGATTCCGAAGCCGATTACCCTTATACGAGCTCTAATGGCTATGGAAGTAAATGCATCACAGCGAAGGTACTCTTTGACCCTATCGTAATTAAACAAGTGATATTTGTTTCTTGCTTATGATCCTTATACGACACCTTAGTGATATTAATTTTGATCCATAAATTCTTTGTTGTGGTCGAAATAGGCGAAAAAGTCAGTTGTATCAATCGATAGCTACGTAGAAGTCGAATCAAACGGAGACGCACTCCTTTGTGTCGTGGCCAAGCAACCCGTGACTATTGGTATCGATGGCTCAGCTTATGACTTTCAACTATACACCGGTGTACGTGTGATGATTTTTTTGTATTAAAATGATTTGTTGAATCTTACTACTAAATTAAAGACTTTTACCTATTGTTTTTCCCTGGGAAATCCGTTGCTAAAGAAGTGATTCGTCAAAAAACCGTTATAAAAAAGTTGATGGGTAAATTGTTGATGGGAAACTCAAATCAATGACATATTACCCAAGTATTTTCTGGGTGATCTGTTGCTATTTTCTTGAAAAATATTTGATTCCATCGGAACCATTGTTATTTTCAGACGCAAATTTCCGTAGGTGATTTTTGTGGGTAAAAGTCTTTTGTTTTGTTGAATCTTTATTTACATGAAAACGCCTAAAGAAACTATTTTTTTCTTTCACAATATGTAGGGTATTTACAATGGCGAATGCTCGAGTGATGCATATAGCATGGACCATGCGGTGCTTGTAGTTGGTTATGGTTCAGAAGGTGGCGAAGATTATTGGATCGTCAAGAACCAATGGGGTACGTATTGGGGAATGGAAGGGTACATTTTGATGAAAAGAAACACAGATATCAAAAACGGGGTTTGTGGGATGTATAACGAGGCGATTTACCCTGTCTCCTCTATCCCAACGCCGCCTGGTCCACCACCACCACCAACTCCACCATCTCCGATGCACCCACCACCATCTCCAGTGCACCCACCACCATCACCAACTCCACCGGCTCCTAGCAAGTGTGGTGAATTCTCATATTGTGCAGCAGACCAAACATGTTGTTGCATCTTTGAGTTCTATAATTATTGCTTGATCCACGGTTGTTGTGGTTACACAAATGCCGTTTGCTGCAAGGGAACTTCGTCTTGTTGCCCTAGCGATTATCCCATTTGCGACGTTAAAGATGGATACTGCCTTAAGGTATGATATATGTCTCAAAAGTGTGTACATGTTATATATAGGATCAGGTTAAACTGCACAAAAATGAAAAAAATTGAGGAATACCTTGGTAACGAATGATATGCACATGTACATACAAGTAATTTCTAAGAAAATTTTCCGGTATGCACATGTGCATAAAAACCAGGAAACAACTTCAATTATTTGTATGCACATGTGTATACCATCAAATGAATGTTTCTCATGTCGTTCCTCAGTTTTTGATTTTTTATGGGTTTTCTCGTGAACCTCTCTTTCTCTATTTACATATGCTCTGATTAGCAATGAACTTTGACATCACCAAGTATTTCATTCAGTCTTCTAAACTTATATTTTTCCATATTTTAGAATTCCGGCGGTACTTTTGGAGTTGCAGCAAAGAAACGACAACTAGCGAAGCACAAGATGCCATGGGAGAAGATCGAGGAAACACTGGTGGAAGAGTACCAACCGCTCGTGTGGAAGAGGAACCCATTTGCAGCAGCTGTTTAGAAACAGATAAAAATGATGTTTTAATCAGATCCCTTAACCCTATGGTTTTATGTAGTATTTAAAGCTTTTAGAACCTTTCGAACCTTAAACCATGTTACATAAATGTATTTCTCAAAAATACGTCACATTGGTGATATTTTACGACCATCTGTGTCGCTAAACTCCACCATGGTCCAGACGTATTTCTTGAAAGTAAGTTGCGATTGTGAAATTTTTAGTCGCTTTTCCATCAGTAATTTTACCGTCACATAATGGTTTGTAGCATAAATATAATTCATATGATTTGTGCATTATTCTATATAGCAATGTTAATGTATATGGTATTATATACATGTGATAATGAAGTTGATACTTTGGAAAATAATATGTCCACAAAATAAAAAGTAATTTGTTTAGGTTGTTATTTTAAAGAATTTATATTTGAAGACTTTATTTTTTTTAAAATAAAGTATGAATTTAATATAGTTAAAGAAATATATTTTATTTTTTGTAGGACATTTATTTTCATAAGGTATTTTTTTTCAAATTATATAATATAAATTTTTTTTATTTTAAAATTACTCTAAAAAACCTGCTATAATGTTTAAAAAATATTTTATAAACTTATTGTAACACTTTTACATAAAATGTTCAAATATTTTGTCATATACACATAAATCCAGTAAAACACAGCAACATTTTTGCATCATATATACCTGGTTTTATTATAATAAAGCTTTAACAGTCTTTTTGTATACAGTAATTTTTTTGATTTAAAATAAAGTAATGATGTCAACAATAAAACCAATGCACATGTGAATTAACTGTGAAGCACCGGATAATTCTCACATAGGTATGCAGAAGATAAAGGGGTAATTTCGTAACTTTTACAAGTAATCGGCAAACAAATTCATATGTGAACTCATGTGATTCACATAAGAACTATATGTTCGTATCTTGAACCTGCTAATTAGTTCACATGTGAACTATTTAACTGATTCACATATGAACCTAATGCACATGTGAATTACAACATTCTGAACGACTCTTATGTGAATAAAAATTTTAGTGATTGTAGGAATTCTCTTCTAAAAATCTATGCCTATATCACCTATTTATACCTAACATTTACAATGAAACTAGATCCTATAAATATGGAAAGATAATCTCTATCGCAAATAAGTTGTCACAAGATCAGCTAAATAGCCTGAAAAAACACCCTTTTAATTCATGGAAACAACTGTTCTACTCATTCTGACACGCTTGCATATATGATACACCCCATTCCTGACTAGAGACGGACCTATAATTTTTTTCAAGTGGTAATATCATTTGACTATAAGAAACATATATAAAGATATTTTTCAGAAAATTGTCATTAATCTATTAGTTAGTTCATTGTTTTTCATATATGAAGTCCTGTGTTCAAGTGTTTTATTGCAAATCTTTTTCAAAAACATAATAAATCTAAAATTGAAAGCTAAAACGGAAAAAATGATTCGAACTCAGATCTAGGACGGAAGAAAAACCTTACAAACCAACTCTACCAAAGGATACTTGTGTTCTCTCCTTAATTTCAAAATATATATGGCGGCACACAACAAATTGATGTGGTTATACTTTTCACGATCCTATAATTTTTTACACTACGACGGAGGAACAAAACGGTGAGAAATGCCACCGTATCCAATACACTAGGTCCCGACTCCATGACAGAGTGTATCCTCGCTACAGGAAACACTGGGAACTATTGATTCCCCTCCCCCCGCCCGCCCCTTGATAAAAACAAGATTTAAATTTGTAAGAATTACATGGTTTGTACATGATATACATTTATGTATATATCTATATATATACATGATATACATGTACACATACATGATATATGTGTATACATACATATATATAAAAGGAAGGTCCAGGAAAACCCAAAGAAAATGAAAAACTGAGAAACATTCTGATAACCGTTTATATGGACCGTATGTACATATGCATATAATTAAAGTTGTTTTTTTTATTTTTATGCAAATTACTCGTATACACATATACATACATACCGTTGAGATGACAAGTTACAAAAAGTTACTCAATTTTTTTTACATATATTATAATCCAGGAAAACTTACCAGAATTGAGTTGAAGAAAGCATGGGCGGACCCAAAATTTTTTGGATACGGTGACACCATATAAAACGGTTGCACCTTCTAGAATAAAACGGTTGCAACTTTCACGAACCTATTTTTTTTATCTTACCACAGAGGAACAATACGATGGCACGTACCACCTAACCACCTCTCTAGATCCGTCTATGGAAGAAAGAGCATTCATATTCATATTCATATTCATAATTTATCCAAATTGTTTGTTTACTATGTGTAAATTGTAATCTAGATCCTTTTTGAAGAAATGTGGGTCAAAATTGAAATGATGTGAAGAGGAGAAGAAAATGGGGTTAGAATAAAGATCCGACCCGACCTTTTAGACCATGGAAATTAGTTTAAAGGGTAAATTCGACTTTTTGTACCTTTGGTTTGAAAAAAGAAAAACTGAAAATCATCGAGAATTGAACTAAATAATCAATTTCCCAATCAACTTCATCTTTTAGTCATGTTTCACCTTTTTTAGGGGTCGTTTATTAAATACTTACTTGATAAGTGCTTATTGGATAAATTTCCTTATCGGATGAACATGAGGAGGACCAAGAATCTTACCGGGTAAGAGCGATGAGAACGATGGAGAATCTTACACGGTAAATGAAGATGATGACTCTTACCAAGGTAAGTGCTTACCTAGTAAATTGTTCCATTCGATATGTTTTGATGTATTAAAATCTTGCGCATCAAAATAAATCATAGTGTTGACTCCTATTGGTAAGCGTTTACCGGGTAAGCAATTGGGTAAACGGCCCCATAGGGGCTGTTTACCAAACGCTTACTCGGGTAAGCGTTTACCAAGTCGCACTATCTAACCGAATGAATATGGTAAGAACCAAAAATCTTACCCAGTTCTTACCCAGTAAGTGAGAACGACGACTTTTACCACAATAAGCGATTACCGGATAAATTGTTGCATGCGATGTCGTTTTGGTGCACTAAAATCTTACCCGATAAGTAAATGATAATGCTAAATTTTACTGGTAAACACTTATCGAATAAGTATTTGATAGGCGGCTCTTAGTTAGACTTAGAGTTTATATAATTGTTTTATACGTTTATGTAGAACTTATTTTGAAATGAAAAAAAAAGTAAGCAAATTCTTTATGCAAATGAGATTCTTATTCAAAATTTTACACAAAAAATTGAATCCTTGTGCAAATTTTTGTAAAAAAATTCCTTTTTTTTAATATCATAATCCAGTTTACGTAAATGTTTAAGACATTTTTATAATCTCTCGTTAAAATGAGAATTCAATTAAAAAAATGACTAAAAAGTGAATTTGGTTAGAAAAATTAACTATTTTGATCAATTTCCTAAAAATCGTCTATACTTTTCAATAAGTTCAAAAATAGTCAACGAGGTTTATTTTTTGTTTTAGTTGAGGGGATTTTCGATCGATTTGTCTTTTTTTAAATTAAAAAATTATTATGTATTTATAATTTATTCGGTTAGCTATACATGACTCTTTATTAGTGGCTTAATTATATAAAACGTGGTAGAAGGAAGCTTTATGAAGAAAGCCAAGTTTTTCCAAACTTTCTCATTAGAATTAAAAAACACGCTTCTTCCATTATGAAAAGACACTCTCAAACAAAAACTTTCTTAATCTATACAAAGAGTCTTATTTATATAGAACTAAATAAGAAAACCAACCAAATAGTCCCTTATGTAGCTTATATACATTTATGTTTAACTAGAAAGGTACTCGCATAATATATCGAGATATAACTTGATTTTAATTTTTTATTTTATTATTTATCTATGTCAATATAATACGGTTTTTAGTGGTTTTTAGAAAACGACAATATTTTTATTTTTGAATAAAATATAAATTTAAATATAGCATAAAAATTAAAAAATATATATATATATTGATATTAGTATTCAAATTTATTATTTAAAGTTCTGGTTTTTTTTGTGTAATTTCTTTAATTAATATTTTATTTATAATTTAATTTAAATTTAATAATAAAGTAATTTATTTATTGTTTAATAATATAATTTTGATAAAAATAATAATTAAGTATTTTGTTATAACTATCCTAATTGTATTTTAAATTTTATATATTTAAAATGAGATATCTATCCCGTATTTGATTGTGTTTATCTATAGTTAGTTACACAAATTTAAAATAAAGTTTTAATAAGTTGTACTTATGCACAATTTACTTGTGATCTTGAATTTTAAGTAATATGCATAAATAAACAGTACTTTATGCATAAAAAATTGTTTTTAAGAGTTTTTATCAAATGTTTTATAATATAGTATATATATATAAATAAAAAGACAAAATCTTTCCTTCGTCCCTGACAGAATGTCTCTGAACACGACCCAAAAACTTCGGTTTTCGATTTTCATCACCGATTTCGAGTTTTTTTTTGCCATCTCTAGACTTTTTCTAAAGGTCAACAATTTAAATCTTACAAGATTATCAAGAATCTTTTCGATTGTTCTCCAAAATCCATAAAATTAATCAAAATATACGTAAACCGACTCAGATATCTACAGTAAAAAAACCCGATAAGTATAAAAGTAAGATTTTTATTAAATTATTTTGGTATAAATTAATTCAATTTGGCCACCTATGAAACCAAAGGGCAACCATGAATGTGGGCTCTTTTCATTTCATTCCATTTTTTGCAAACATCCTATTCACAATTATGGAAGGTGGAGAAAGCTCCACGTGGAATACCACATGGCCCCTTCTCATGACACGTCTACACCCACGTGGTACTTGAGATGACATCAGACTCAACTCTTGGAAACACGACTTTGCTTTTTTTTTTAAAGATTAAAATTCCCAATTTCTAAGTCCTTTTAATCCACAAATAAATCCTTAAAAAATATAAATAAAAATCCAAACTTCATTTTTTTTAACCAAATAAATTCAATTAAATCATTAAATATTGGTATTGATTTGATTTATATTTTTCTTATAAACGTGGTCTCATTGGTTAATTAAATTATAGTATCTAAGTTAGTTTTTATATATATAATTAATCCATTTAAATATATATTATTTCGAAAGTGACAACAATACAATATAATTGCCCTTTTTACGAGTCTAAAATTTATGATGACGGAACGTAACGGTGATCTGTGCTATCATAGCTAATGAATTGGGTATGCTCATGATTTGAACAACGTTTGTAATTAAATACTAATATAACCGACGAACGACAATGACAAATGATATCACCAATAATTAATGGAGGTCACTGATCTAGGCCATGATTAATCTTATTGATTACTCGTTGATCTGGTTGACAATGAGAAACTTTTTTACATGTGTTTTTTGTTTTAAAAAAGATTTAAAATGGTTTCAGATTGTGAAACAAATATAAATTAATTATGCATTAAATACTAGCCTTATATATATAAACGGTGTAATTTTTACAAATCATACAAACTTAATTATGTTTTAACCACAAGGGTGGTGTCTGATTGGTTTGAGTTTGGCTTCAAAGATCAAGAGTACCACGAGGTCCCAGGTTCAAATCCAAGGAAGAATAAAAATCCCCTTGTGACCACAGAGATTCAAATGCGGTGACTCTAGACTATCTACAAAGCAGGCGGTCCCCCTGTGATTAGTTGGCTCACATAACGGGTTGGATATCCAAGTTAATAAAAAAAAACCTAACAAAAAAAAGGACCCAAAAACCATGAATAACAACTAAAAATCCGTCAGTCTTTTCTTTTGTGTAATTTGTTTCACTTCAAATTTTGGTTATATTTTATCTATATACTTTCAATTTAAAAAAATAAAGGGATTTTTTATTTTTAAAATTATAACAATCTCTTTAATTATACCCGTTGGTTCATCTCAATCTAACACTTTAAAATAAATTCTTTTGAGTTCTTTTTTTAGGGTTCTCTTCAAATCTATTATGTATCTTTTCCATATATATATATATAAATATATACAAAAAAATGTGAGTTATTATACAACTATTTATATTTTTACAACCAATACAAACCAATTTCAACCGTCCGTTTAATTTGATGAATATGTAATTTCATAAAATTTTTGATTGTTTCCTAATATAAAATATTGATCATAATTAATAAATCTTATTCATCTTCCATAAATATTTAAATCATAATAAATGAATTCTCATTATTTTCATAAATATTTTAATTTATTGGGTTGTATTGGTTGTACAAATGTGATAAGTTACATTTGAAACAAACTCTCTCTTTCTCTCTCTCTCTCTCTCTATATATATATATAGGGTATATTTCTTTTACAACCTTTTGTATTTGTACAACCCTTGCAACCCAATTAATTGAGATATTTATACAAATGATGGGAGTTCATTTATTATGATTTGAATATTTATGGAATATGAATAGAGTTCATTAATTATGATTAATACTTTATATTAGGAAACAATCAAAACTTCTATGAAATCACATATTCATCAAATGAAATGAACGGTTGAGATTGGGTTGTATTGGTTGCACAAATGTCAAGGGTTGTATAATAACCAACCTCTATATATATATGTTATATTTCAAATACAACTATATATATATATATATATATATTATGGATTGGGTTTATATACCATATTATTTTCGTAAGATACATGAAACTATTTTCATACTTAAAATTTTACAGTAAAATATTATGAAAGGTAAAAATATTTCGAACCTTTTTAGTGTAAGAGAAAAAAAAGGAGTATGGCATGAAAGGTTTGCATGAGAGCAATGAGGCAGGCACCCTATGGCTAACCAGCTGCGCGTAAACCATGCAGCATGCATATAAGCCACGCATTTCCCCAAACTCGCAGCGTGTCAATCATCCACCTCTACTTCTTTCTCTCTCTATATATACATACACATATACATACACATTTTATATATATATATATATATATATATATATAACCTTAAAAGACGACTTATTTGTTTGGTTTAATAAAAGGAAACAGCAGCAGCAATGAAGCAGACAGCAATTGAAGAGAAATTCTCAGATTTCTACGAGAAGTGGGTCTGTCAGCTGGAAGAATATCATAGATTTCTCCTTCAAGATTACACCCATCAATCAGATTACGAGAATTTAGTCGCAAAAATGACAACCCACCACAAGAATTACTACAGATTCAAATGGTCAGCTGCCCATGAAGATGTCTGTGCCTTCTTCACTCCTGTCTGGCTCACCCCATTAGAAAACGCTTATCTCTGGGTCACCGGTTGGAAGCCGTCGGCGGTTTTCCGGTTTGTTGACTCACTCCGGCAAACCGGGACCGGGCTGGTGGACTTGACGGAGGAACAGGTGAAGAGGATTGAAGGGTTGAGATTGAAGATCAAGATGGAGGAAGAGAAGGTGGAGAGAGAGATGGAGAGACAGCAGGTTGGGATGGCTGATCGGAGGATGGTGGAGTTGTTGCGGTTAACGAGGGGTGGCGGTGGCGATGCGGTGGCGGTGGTGGCGTTGAAAGGGTTGTTGAGTGGGTTGGAACGAGTGATGAAAATGGGGGATTGTGTGAGGTTGAAGACGTTGAAAGGATTGTTGGATTTGATGAATCCAAAGCAGTGTGTAGAGTTGTTGGCTGCACAATCTATGTTTCATGTTCAGTTGAGGAAATGGGGCAAAAAATTGTGAATTTTTAAGAATTAATATTAGTTGTAGTTAACTTTTTGTTTGTTTTTATAACCGTGGGTTTCTGAACCAACTTATATTAATCGAGTAACGGTTAATACTGAATGACACTACAGTTATCACAGCTGAACCATTATATCAGTACTATTTTTAGAAAAAGAGGTATTTTGGTCATTTATTATTATTTTATTAATCATTTGGAAGTTATATTCAACAAACCTAACGAAATAGACACATTCCTATTCATTTGACTGATTTCATCTCAATTCCTACCAACCAAACTTACGAACAAACCCGATTAAATTCATTTTCAATTCCTATGACAAATTCCATCATGTGATCGAATGCCACCTTAGTATACAATGTGCGACGTATAAACCGTATCAAGCTTCCTTCCAACAAACTAACCTGCTCCAAAAATATACATGGAAATAATCGAATAAGAACCTTAAAAATGTTGAGAACTGTGAGAATAACTAAAACATGTGTTGTTTTACACTGTAAAACAACACATGTGATTGTATGTTGAGTCATATTATGATTTGATATCCATATTGTTATACTTTTGCATTTGAAGCTTCCTGTGGAACTACACGTGTGAAGCTCCATATAGATAAGAAGCTCCTTCTAGTGAGACCAACCACTTTTCGTAAGACCTGTGAAACCACTGTAAAGATTTAGAGATCGTTTACCAAACACTTATCTGGTACGTGCTTATCAAATTACATAATCTTACTGATGAATATGACAAAGACCAAGAATCTTACCCAGTAAGAGCGAAGACAAGGACTTAGAGTCTTACTCGGTAAATGAGGACGACGACTTTTACCACGGTTAATGCTTACCGGATAAAATATTGCATACGATACCATTTTGGTGGACTAAAATCTTATCGGGTAAGTAAGTGATAGTATTGAATTTTGCCGATAAACACTTATCCGGGTAAGTGTTTGGTAAACGGCCCCTAAATAACCACCAATTTAATTTAGCCTAAACTACCCTTGAGTAATAGGAAAGGTTTTATGCAAAATAATTAAAAGAAAGCTAAACTCCTAAGTCAAACCACCCCATGATGGTTCATATGAAAAGTCTTGAAGCATATACTAAATTATTACCCCACCCTCCTAATTTTCAAAACCTAGTTTTTTGGTCCAGAAGTTTTAAAGCCAAAGCTGGTGCTGGCAGTCGAATAAGGGCTTGTTTGTTAGTAACTTAATGAGTTTAATGGAATTTACTTATTCGGTCAACTATAAATGACTGTTGATAGTAGCTTAATGAGTTTAATGGGATTCACTTATTCGGTCCGCTATACATGATTGTTGATAGTAGCTTAATGATATAAAAGTGACTTATTCAGTAAGTTTCTAAGGGGAGCTTTATGAAGAAAGCCAAGTTTTTTCCAAACTTGCCCCTCCTAATTAAATAATGTGTCCCTATCTATGAAAAAGCTCTTCCAAACAAAAACATTCTCAATTTATACAGATAGACTAATATCTACACATACAACTTTATTCATTCTGGATTTAATGGAAAACCAATAAAACAACCCCTAAGTCAATTGCCTAGTGGTACCTAGGTTACCGATAAATCCCAACCTCCTTGAAGGTCAACGATTCATGCCTCACCTTTGGTGAGGAATGTGAGTTTTATCGTATATAAATATTAAATATTTAAATCTTTTTTGGGTAATAGCTGGTTTCAAGGCCGGCTTACGTGCACGACTAATCCCCAGGCTAACCTCCTTGGCCACAAGGGTTTTAGCACGCTTGAATTCGAACCCGGGGAGGATGAGATTTTCCATTACATTACCCCTGACCTCATCTCAAAATCTCTTTTCACAATCCGGGCTATTCTCATAAACAACCTCTCTACCTCCTAATATTGTTTCATATTCATGTCATTGCCATCAAGATTACATTTTTCGTATTCAGAACTCGGGTGTTTTAATATATATGGAAAAGGGATTCATGTCTCAAAAGGGTCGGGAGTGCACGATATCAAGAAATCAAGAAAACGGAGCTGCAAACTCCATCTTAGTCCTCGACTGACTAATCAAATTGCGTTCGCAAACACCACGAAGATACAACCCATGGATTCCATCTAATCTTATAACACCAACAACATAAAAGATGCAATTTTAGACCACTTCTACTCTAACAATTAGCAATTTAGCATCAAGAAACATATAAAACAAGATCAAAAAACTAAAGAAATCCAATAATTTGCATCAAGGAAGAGATAAAAACAAGATCAGAAGAGTAAAGAAATCCAACAAAACCATACCCTTTTGAATCCTGCTCCTTTCTTTATTTGTTATCAGCAGGCAAATGTGAAGATGGTTCAGAAGATCCAGTTAGAACCAGAGGCTGCAATCCAGGACCAAGTTTATTGGCACAAAACTCATCATATTCACTCTTATCCCCTGCTTTCTTTTTAACTTCTATAACTCTCAAATTCGGTGTCAATTCGAATATCTCAACAGTAATCGTTAACGGGCCTTTCACGCCCTCTCGTGACCCTTCTAAACTAATCCTACAATCCTTTCTTCTGACCGAAAAACTCACCACTTTCGCTACCTCCTCCAACTTCGAAATAATGCTAGAAACTGGGGCTGCTGTCACAAATCTTGATTCCTCAGTTCCGTCTTCAAACAGCCCAGAAAGACTAAATCCAGGCGAAAACGAAATCAAATCAAACGCGTTTAGACTCATGGGTCTCGGGAAATTACCACTAACAGACCGCTTCTTAACTTCCATTTCACTTTCGGATTCGGAGTATAAAGATTGATCGGAAAAATAATCGATACAATCTTCAGTACCTCTATCTTTCACAGTACTAATCATGTCATCATCTTCAACATAAAACTTAATGTGTTTAAAACCCTTTTTGAACCACTTATCTTCCATGATTTCAGGAATCCTGATTCGGGTTTCCGGGTTTGTATCAAGTAATCTTTTTAACAAACGGGATAGCTCCGGCGAGAACCATCTCGGTCGCCGGAATTGCCCTTTGTAAATCTTCTTATACATAACCATTATATTCTGATCACGAAATGGTAAATAACCAGCCATTAAAACAAATAAAATTACCCCACAAGACCAAATATCGACTTTTGCTGCTTCATACCCTTTCCGGCCCAAAACCTCCGGCGCGACGTACGCGGGAGTTCCGCAAAAGGTATGAAACAGACCATCGCCGCACATTTGCTCGGAAATTGCACTCAGACCGAAATCGGAGACCTTCAAATCACCATCTTCGTCTAATAAAATGTTTTCTGGTTTTAAATCTCGATGATAAACACCTCGTGCATGACAAAACCCTACTGCAGAAATCAGTTGTTGGAAATATTTTCGAGCGACGTCTTCTGTTAATCGACCTTTAGCGACTTTACTGAATAATTCACCGCCTTTAACGTATTCCATAACGAAGAAGATTTTGGTTTTCGTGGCCATTACCTCAAAGAGACGGACGATGTTGGGGTGGCGTACACGGCGGAGGATGGAGATCTCGCGTTTGATGTGAGAGATCAAACCGCCTTTCATGACTTTCTCTTTGTCGATGACTTTAATGGCGACGAGTTCGTTGGTTTTGATGTTGCGAGCGACGTAGACTTTGCCGAAGCTGCCATGGCCGAGAACATGGCCGATCTCGAAGCGGCGGAGGAGGAGGCCTTGGGCTTCTTTTCGGGTGGTGGAGGGAGAGGGAGACGGAGATGACGTGGTTGACGCCATAAAGGGGGGTAGAGGATCAGAAATTGAAAAATGGGAAATGGGGTTTCGATCAACGTTCGAAAGATTTGAGTTTTGATTTTAATTTTTGGATTTGATGATGATGATGACGATGATGTTTGTGAAGCAGCAACAGATTCGTTGGTTGCTTATGGGCCATGGCAATATAAAACAATTGATAAACTAATGATCAAGTAAATGTGTACGATATAATTCTAGACATGTATTATTGCAGAGGGAATGTTTGCATTTATTAATTTATTACATCTTAAAAATGTTTAACTTTTTCAAAAACTTTTTATTATCGATTTGACATTGATATAAGTTGTTTATCCAAACATTCAAAAGTGATTATTACCGATGTCACACTGAAATAAGTCAATAAGTTGTTTTTATAAGAATCCCAAACGCCCCCTAAATTTTTTGACGAAATGACAATTTTATTTTTAATAAATTTATCTTTTTAAAACTTTTAGGGTTATTTGGCAATTGCTGAATAATTTGGTGCGTAATGATTAAGTGGTCGGCATGATTAAGAGGCTCTCATGATATAGTGCAAAATAAAATATAATTGTTTGGTAATTGTATTCAATGAAATCAGAGCTCTTAATGGTTAAGGGAGATCCAGGATACAAAATCATCCCGAGGGTTTTAGAACCATTAAGAAACAGACTTTTTTTTGCCAAACAAGATTCACCTCTTAACGATTCAGAGGTTGCTTCTTAATGGAACTATTAAGAGGTAAACAAACAACTCCTAAATATTTATGCATTTATAAAGGGTAAACTGGAAAATTTAATTATCTATTTTGGAAGTTGGACACTTGTTCTGATACAAACATATATAGAAGCGTAGATATATATTTTGGGACCGAGGAAGTATAGTTTTGAATGTAAAAACCATTAAGCTTTCTCATTTTGTATGATTAAGTCTTTGAACATTTTTTGTATTAATAAACCATGGTCTTTTTAAAAATTATCTTCTTAACAACAAAAAAAAAAACTATCTGTAACCAACTAGAAATGTCTTAAGGAAAAAAATAAACCTAAATCAGTTTTACCATTTTCAAATCTTACACCTTCAAACACCTATTGTTGCCCCATCGTTGTCCATTCTCCATACCGCATATTACACTATTGGTCTCTACCATCGATCTCCCTCTTTTTAGCTATTTTTAGGGGGATAGAGACAGTGTCACTTTAAGATATTTCTAGTCAGTTACGAGTAGTTTTTTTTGGTTAAAAGATGTAAGTAACCAATTTCTAAAAGTTCGACGATTTATTTTATTGAAAAAAAAAATCGTATAGGACTTAATCATTTAAAATGGAAAGTTTAATAGGTTTTTTACTCAAAAGAATAGCTCGGAGACTTAATCATTCAAAATGCAAGATTTAATAGGTTTTACATTCAAAAAAATAATTCACGGACTTAATCACTCAAAATGGGATAGTTCGTTGGATTTTTATGAACTTCTCTCATATATTGTCTCAAAGCATGTCTAACAAGCGTGATTCATGAATAGGTTTGAGATTAAAGGTGATCAAATGTGCAGATCCCATCTTACGTTTTCCACATTAACTCTTCTTTTCACACGATATTTCGCCTTCGACTTAATTGACACGAAGTTTTCTAATTTTAATCATTTGATTCGTTTATCATTTTTAGAAAAAAAATTGTTTTAAAATCTGTATTTTTTATTTAAATATTTTACAGAAAGTAATTTTCAAGTGATCTAAACAGGTTTTTTCATTATTATACGTCATTTTAGAAGGAATTAATAACATGTGATAGAATCGATCACAAAACATCGTAATATATATACTTCACAAAGTTACAGTCGCTTAAGCAGTAAACTTGATAATCTGGTATATACGAGTAGGGGTATCAATGGATCAGGTTGGGCTGGGTTTGGGTTCAACTTATTTATTAAATAGGTTGAAAATCTCAACTCAACTCAACCCAATCCATTTAATTAAATGGGTTGAGATTTTTCAACCCAACTCAACCTGTTATTTAAATGGGTTGACAGCGGGTTGATCTGTTTACGATTTTTTTAACCCAACCTGTTAAATAAAGGGGTTGACAGCGGGTTGACTTGTTTACGATTTTCTTAACCCAACTTGTTAAATAAATGGGTTGAATCTGGGTTGACCCATTTAATTTTAAAATTTCGAATAAAAAAGGAGTAGACTATTTAATTTTTTTTTTTTGAATAAAACATAACCACAAATACAAATAAATTGTTTAAAGTTTGAATAATACACAACCACAACAAATATATTGTTCAAAATAAGTTGGATTGGACTTTGGAGACGATAATGGACTAAAGTGTTTACTTAGGGTTTCATGATGATTAAGAATAATGGAGACGATTAGAATTTGGAGTTGCATCTCACGACGGTAGGATCTTTATTTAAGAATAAAACAAAATTAAAAATTTGAATACTAAATATAACTAGAAGCGTACTCGGGCAATGCAGCGAGATACATCGTGATTTTAATATTTTATTTTATTTTTTTATCTCAGTCGATGTTATAATATG